GCCGCCGGCGGCGGAGGAGGTTGGGGAGGCTGGGGTTTCTCTTCCTTCACCGTTCTCTCAGATCTCCAGAAGGCCGCCGAAGAAATCTCTAAGAACGTACGTATCTCATGGATCAATCTTTAGTGCGTTTCCTCTTTTTAGAATCTAGGGCTTGGAATGATGATCGTACCTTAAATCAAACCCCTAACCTAATTTGGGATCAGGCTGTTGAAGTTGCGAAGAATGCAGCTAAAAGCATCACTGAAGCAGCAGAAGAAGATGCTTCTGCTACTGATCCAACACAAACGAAACGACGAGAACAAGAAGAAGAAGAAGGGAGCGACGGTGATGAGAGGAACAATAATGATACCCTTCGCAATTCTGCGCTTGATCGGTTGGAGAAAGCAAGCCAAGATACTCTGCTGGGCCAGGCAAGTCTAAGGATTGATATTTGATGCGCTTATATTTTCTTACTGAAGTTCTGATTTTATCTACATTGATTGATATGAGAAGCGTGGGCTTGCGTGCGTGTGTACAGGGTCTTAAGGTTATTGACGATTCAGTTGAGAGCTTCGCTTCGGGAGCATGGCTTGCCCTTGGTAGTGCTTTGAAAGGAGGCTCATCCCTGGTCCAAAAGTATGTAGCCATGAAATACCACATTTTTTGTGTCGAGTCGGTGTTTGTATCTTTACCTTTTATCTGCTTGTTGAGAACTTTATCTACTTGTTGTTACATTTGCATGTGGGTCTCTATCCGCTAAGCACTTATGTCTAGTTCTCAACTTGGTTTTGTAATGCTATACGTCCTAGTTTGGCCTAGCTGGTTGTCTTGGAAAGATAACCATTGTGGTATAGCAAATGAAGGTTACTGTGGTTTGGCACAGTCTCCCTTTGATTGTACGAGGGATGTTTAAAAAATCAAAATTGCAGATTTAATTGCTAAAACCTGATGATCAAATTTATTTGTAGTAAGTGTTTGTGGAGGAAGCTTGATCTCTCACATTTTTTCATATTTGAAATGAACTTGGGGTTTCCTACCACGATCACAAAATGGGGAGACTTTCCCTAACACGAGAGATGGAAAACATTCCCCCTGACTCGAGAGATAGCAAACTCTTGGGGTGGAAAAGCATCACTTTGGACCCGGGGTTTCCAAACCTGATTCATAAAGCCCACATATGACCTACCCCACACACTGAGCAGAACCCGCCCCTCTTGCAACCCTCTTTCTTGCTGTTGATCATGCCCTAGCCCAAGGAACTTCAACTATTTGTGCACTATACGCATAGGTGTTGGCAGTGAAAACTGCGAGTGAGAGATGCAAATATCTGTGGCTAGTCATTTTCGTATTGGAGTTGGGAAGCCCCGGATCCAAAATAGACCTCTTCAGTCGCCCAAATAGTGGAACATTCTGGCTCTCTGGCTGACTAGGCTCTTTTGACTGGGGTTTACTTGCTGACGTGCGAAAGTTTTACCCTCCATCCCTGATATGACTAAAACCTTGTTGTCTTTTTTAATAAAGTTGAACAGAATGTTTTGGTAATAAATTTAAAATTGTTTCTTAATTTCCTTCTACAAACTCTCATATTCAGGCATTTCCTACTTCTGATTCACCTTTGAGAATCTTGTTACAATAGCTTACTAAACCTGGAGGCACGGAAAAATGTTCCTGGATCACCTTCAAGTTGTCATGCTTGAGATGCACTTGCTGATGCTATCACTGTAGATTGTATCTTACCTATTCAGTCATTAGTCATATTCCTCCTACACACAAGTAACTTGCTTATTCGTACACTACCATAGTTACATATGGATAGTCTCTTACTAGCCACCTATGTTTGGTTATCCAATTGCTTCTCTGAGAATAAATGATATTAATATTTTATTGACTTTCTTTTTTAATTAAATTCTTCACTAGGACATGAAAAATGTTTTATGGCTATTAATTAAAAAAGGATATGGCACCATTGACGAAGCTGAATGGAGAAAAAGGATTTGTACGACCATCCCTTGATGTTTGGTGTTACAGCTTATCTAATACCCTTGATCAAAGCACAAATATTCATGCCTGCTTTAGTTTTGCTTATGATTCATGTTTTGCTATAAAAGTGGTAGCTCTCTTTTTCCAGATTGGAGCATTCTGCTGCTAACCTTGCTGATTCCATCCAGCATGGTGCCCTCCCTACAAATGCCACTTCTCTTGCTCCATCTATCATAGAGGTATATTTGCGCTGATGATCTGTCCGCTCTTTAACTTCATGTATTGCTGATTAATTCAAGTTTGCCTTGTATTAGACTGGTAAGTCTTTCACTACAAAGGGTATTGAAGCGCTTGAGCGAGTGAGCAAAGAGACAATGGAACTATTCATCTCTGAGACTGGTCTGGGAGTTGAAAAGAAAGAGGGTTTTGGTCGTCAAGCTGATGAAGAACAGCCTGAGGAAATTAGCTTTGATAGATGCTTTTATATTTATGGAGGTCCTGAACAGCTTGAGGTGTTGCATTCATTCTGAAACTTACTTGGCCTTTTCAGTACTTGCAATTGTTTTGATTGAATTTTTTTTCTTTTTCAAATGATTTCTTATGGCAGGAACTGGAATCACTGTCGAGCCATCATACCCTCTTGTTTAACAGAAGAAAAGCAAAGCTTTTACCCGAACAGAAATCCTTCTATGATGGGAAGCTTAAACAAATTCAGAAAATTCTGGATTTGGGCTCTGAAATAGAGGAAAATGGTGGAAACCCAGATAAAGGAAAAGATATAGAGACGGTAGATACTGTTAGTGGTATTGAGATGAAAAATCTACGTGACTGTAGTGTTAAGAAGGCTGCTGACATATCCGCAGGGTAATAACTTCTACATGTCGTGACTCTTAATGTGATAATCTTTTGTCTGCCTGTTAAATTTTATCAGTAAAAAATAAAAAGTTAACATAAGTTATCGATGCATTAATGAAATGTTATTTCTTTCTTGGTATGCAAGTTGTATGATTGAGATCAATCCTATTTAATGTGATACTCTCCACATGGCCATGATATTCAATACTGCAGTTATATCCAATGGTCATCTATTGAGGGCCAACATTAGGGGAACTTTAGGTTGGGTATTTACGCTACTAGGGCATCTCAAACGTGTCATTCATCACATTAATAGAAATCAAAGTTTTGAATGTCGGATGACGGCTTCATGTCGGATAGTAGAAATTGAGGATAGGTCGAGGGATTATGTATTAAGTATCAGATTGCCATATCGGATGGTGTGTATATGTGTAATATAATGCCCTAAATGCGATCTAAGCATACTTAATAAATTCTGTAGTCTAAACAAAAAGATCTGAGATTGAAGCTCCAGCCCTTGAACCCCCGTTGCACAATCTGTCAGAGAAATGAAGTTATTATATATATATATATATATAGTGATATATATAGATATATTAGTATCATATATATATGGTCATACTTATATATATATATGTGATATAGAAGGAGAGAGAGAGAGAGAGAGAGAGAGGAGAGAGAGAGAAGAGAGAGATGACAGGAAAGAGTAGGAGAGGACAAGAGGGAAGAAATACCATTTTTTGTGATTTCTTTGTGAAAATTGGAGCTCTGATGTGGCGATTTGGAGAGGATGATGAAAGGGAGAGAGAAAAAGAAGGAGCACACCATTTTTTTCTCTTTTTGCCCTAATCTGTAATGCTATTGGGTTTTTAACTGGAACAAAGGCTGAAAAAGGGTCAACTGTGTTTGGGTTTTGGGTACTAAACCCAAACCCGAACAGTTATAAACTTTGAAAAAACATACCATATCGGCCGATTTTTCAAGGCTGAAAAATTGACCAATATGTCCACAATTTTCCCCGATATGTCTGATATGGACTGCAAAAACAATCCATCTTCAAAAGGTTAAATCTGTGGTGCTCGGCCCCTAAGTCCGACATGTGTTTAAAACCATGATAGAAACCTGCATGAGAGTGAGGGTATCAACACAGAGAGGGTTTGAAGTGTCACAGAGGAAGATTTCCAACTTTAGTGGAATTTATGTTTTACCAGTATTTATCTTTTTTTAATCATTTTCAATTTTGAATTTCTAATCCTCCAGACAGATTCTATATAGCAACCCACGCTCCCTGTAGAGAAGGCTTAATTATGCACTGACTGATGATTACTGTATCCTTAACATTCACTCAAGTAATCATGTAATCGTCTTCAGTTGCAATTTAAATGTAAATGTCTTGGACAGATGCTGAGGGCATACATATATGTGCTTTATGATGCAAACGATTTTCGTTCATCTCTTTATTCTTCAGGCTGTTACAGTAGTTTACAATTTTTTCAATGAGAATAATGTTGTTATTTATGCTAAAACTTGATTATCAAAACGATTTATTTTTATAAAATAAGGCAGTTGTATTTTTAGTCTTCTTGGAAAAGATTTTCCAGTGTTTCTATAGTGGGTGATTTTCTTGTTTTGGGCTTTCATGGTGAACTTTATGAAAGCATGTGAAGTCTGATTACGCTGCACTGAAACATCAACAGTTTTAGTAAGAATCATATCCTGCTTTCCTTTTAGAACCCTCTGAGAAATAAAGGAATCTATGGGAAACCGTAGAGTCTAATGAAATTGTTTTCCTAGTCCTTGTTTAGTTTAACTGGTTATCAGGTAACTAAACTCAGCTTGTCTATAAACTGCTTCAAATTAGATTGCTACTAGATTCTATATGATTCTTGAAGTTGAATTGTGTCTGACATTACCATTCTTTTGTAAATCACTCTAAAATGAAGGCTCAACAAAGCTAATAGGCGATAAAATTTATTTGTTATCTGTATATATTGAACATCATCAATCTCATTTGATTGGGGGAAAAAAACAAGTTTTGCAGGTTTGCTGCTGTGCTTGGGGGGTTTGCTATTAATGAGATAATCCAACGAACCACTGGCAGACTCGATATGGTTCATGCAGAGGGGGTTCATGTATGCCTCTACTGGGATGAGCTAGGTTGTTTTATTTTTTTTCTTATCATTTTATGTATGACCAATTTATTTCTTGTGTAGAGACTCTCGGAGCTTTGTAGCTTTGCTTTGTCCCATCTTTTGATGCTTGGAAAATCGATCATCTCAAATGCAAATAAATTAAGGAGTGAAGAAACGGGAGATGATATTCTTAAGGTTGACTGGCCTGAGGATTCTGTTTCCAAAGCTAAAATCATCAGATCTAAGGCCCAATACATGTCTGCAGATGTGGAATTAGTTGCTAAGAGTTTTGTCACAGGTGCATCACTGTACTTTTTTCTTTTAGTTCGCCCATTTAAATGCTTTTCTAATATTGATAAACTTCATTAGAGGACACGAATATCTGGTTTGACAATTTGCGTCTAACTTGTAACGACACTTCATAATTTTTCGATTGTTCAAATTGCCTGGATTGTCATCACCATCACCACCACCACCACCACTATCATCGAAGACCTATCCCATAATAGGAGTTTTGTGTGGCCAATTATTCTGATGAATGTCAACTTTCTGTTAACACTTTATAAGTTACTATCAAATTCCTGTCATGAGACACCTATGTGATGTGGCCTAGATAACACAGACATGGCGTTTTGGTTGTCGCGTCTATGTCCGACACCTGTCGGAAACTGACTCTCCACGGACAGACCATGGACATATGTGGTTCAAAGAAAAACAGATTTTCCATTATTTATACCCTAAACTAGTTTCTCTGGTAATATTAGGTTCAAAACCAATTAATTTTTTAAGTCGAAAATTGAACCCATTATTAAATATGTGAAAAACACCTATTGTATTTGTATGATCCCATGTGGTCAAAAGTGAACATTTTATTGTTAAGTCTTATTCTTCGTTTGATTTAACTTGGTTCTTACTTGTTATATATAATTGAAAAAAATATACAACTGTTATTGGTATTTTTATTCAATATTTGATCATGTGTGTGTATATTATATACCATGTCCCCATATCCTACATTTTACAAATTTGTGTGTATTACATACCGTATCCCTGTATCCTACATTTAATTTGCCGTGTCCCGTGTCTGTATCCGTGTCTGTATTCGCGTCCGTGTCTGTGCTACCCAGGCAGTGGTGAAGTCATAAATTTTAGAAAGGGGGTTCAAAAATAGTTAAACACAATAACGTATAATTTTTTTTGCACGAATGATTAGCATCTAAACATCATTTAGACTTACAAAATCTTATTTCAAATTAGAATGCAGTTTGTATGTGATAGAATGTACAGAGTGGAATTAGAGAAAAAGAAGATTGCTACTTAGTAGCCTCTCCCCATCTATTTATATTAACGAAATGATGGTACAGGTAAATCCCTAACCTATGTGGGACTAAACCAAATAGAGACTAAACCCAAAGTACTCTTAACACTCCCCCTCAAACTGGAGTGTATACATCATACATACCCAGTTTGTCACAAATAAAATCCACCCGTGTTCTACCTAGTGGTTTGGTGAAAATATCAGCTAGCTTGTGTCCTGTTGACACATGTTTTGCTTCAATGACCTTCTCCATGAGTTTTTCATGAATTATATGACAATCAACTTCAATGTGTTTGGTTCTCTCATGAAATACGAGATTCTTAACAATATGGATTGCCGCCTTATTATCTCTATATAAGCTCATATGACACTCAGGAGGGAGTTTAATTTCAGTCAGTAAATCTCTGATCCATATCATCTATAACGTTACATTAGCCATGGCCCTATACTCCGATTCTGCACTCGAACGAGACACTATACTTTGTTTCTTACTCTTCCATAATGTAAGGTTTCCTCCAAGAAATACACAATAACATGTGGTCGATCTTCTATCGGAAGGACACCCTGCCCAATCTGCATCAGAAAAACCTGTCACCCTTATGTGTCTCTGATCTGTGTAGAGAAGTCCTCTTCCTGGAGCTTTCTTTAAATATCTCAAAATCCGCATTACGACATCAAAGTGAGTAGTTCTTGGTGTTGCTTCCTGGAGCTTTCTTTAAATATCTCAAAATCCGCATTACGACATCAAAGTGAGTAGTTCTTGGTGTTGATAGAAATTGGCTTACTACACTGACTGAAAATGTGATGTCAGGTCTGGTTACCTTCAAGTAGTTTAATTTTCCAACTAATCTCCTGTACCTCCCCACATCTTCAAGGAGCTCCCCCTGATCTGGTAGCAGTTTTGTGTTCACATCCATTGGAGAGTCAATACTCTTACATCCTAACATTCCAGCTTCTGATAGCAAATTAAGTACGTATTTTCTTTGTGACAGAAAAATACCTTTCTTTGATCTGGCCACTTCTATGCCTAGAAAGTACTTAAGAGAACCTAGGTCCTTAGTTTGAAAATGCGTCTGCAGATATTTCTTTAGGCTATCAATACCTTGTGCATCATCTCCTGTGATCACAATATCATCCACGTACATAACTAGTAATATCCTTTTTCCATCATGCATTCGCCAGAAGACGGAATAATCTTTTTCTGCACGATTAAGGCCAAACTCTCGAAGGACAGAGGCAAAACGACCGAACTAGGCACGGGGAGATTGCTTCAGACCATATAGTGATTTCTTTAGTCTGCAGACTTTCGTAGACTCCCCCTGAGTAACAAAACCTGGCGGTTGCTCCTATAGACTTCTTCTTCCAAAATTCCATGAAGAATAGCTGATGAATAGGCCAGTGATAGTTTGCAGCTAAAGAAATGAAAATGCGAACAAAAGTTATTTTTGCAACGGGCGAGAAGGTATCCACATAGTCTAAGCCATAAACCTGGGAGAAACCCTTGGTCACCAACCGAGCTTTTAATCTAGCAAGAGAGCCATCCGGATTAAGCTTAATAGTATTCATCCATTTGCAGCTAACTGCTATTTTGTCGGATGGTAGAGTAACCAATTCCCATGTCTTATTTTCAGTAAGGACAGTCATTTCCTCCTGCATTGCCTGAGTCCAATCTGGAACAGATAGAGCTTCTGACACATTTCTGAGAACCGAATATGAGTCCAGAGAAGAAATAAATGTTCGAAAGGAAGAAGAGAGATTAGAGTAAAAAACAAAATTGGAGACTGGATGATTAGTACAAGACCGTTTACCCTTACGAAGGGCAATAGGGAGATTCATATCTGAATCAGGAGTAGGAGCAGGATGAGTAGAGCTAAGTACATGACTTGTTTCCAAGGTTAGCGATGGCACATGAGTATGAGTGGAGCGACATGTATAGACCTGTAATGGTTCCTGAAATCTTAGTAGGTTCTTACCAATATTGTTCAATAGCGGCACAGTACCATTGGGTATGAGGTATCTTGTAGGAGTAGGTAATCGTAGTCGGCAATAGATGAAGGGAGAGATGAGGAATGACCAGGTAGGTGTTCAAAGAATGTAACATCGGCAGAGATTAGATAGCGGTTGAGAGAAGGACAGAAACATTTGTAACCTTTTTGAGTTCGAGAATAGCCAAGAAAAATGCCTTTGATAGAGCGAGGATCAAGTTTAGTTTTCGTAGGACTGTGGTTATGAACAAAGCATAGTGAACCAAAAATCTTTGTGGGTAAAGGGAATATGTCAGAAGTGGAATATAAGATACTGTAGGGAATCTTATTGTGTAAAACAGAGGATGACATTCGATTAATTAGATAGCAGGTAGTTAAAACAGCATCCCCCTAAATTTTTTTTGGAACATGACTATGAAATAATAAGGATCAAGCAGTATCAAGAAGATGCCTATTCTTGTGTTCAGCCACCCCATTTTGTTGAGGAGTGTAAACGTAAGATGATTGATGTAAAATACCATGATCGGCAAGAAAATTGGCAAATGAGGTTTCCAAATATTCTTTTGCGTTATTTGAGCATAAGGTTTTAATTTGAGTGTTGAACTGAGTCGTGATTTCTGAATAAAATATTCTAAAAATAGAAAACACTTCAGAACGAGATTTCAAAAGATAAATCCATGTAACACGTGAAAATTCATCCACAAAGCTAACAAAATATTTAAATCCCATTTTTGAATTTATTGAACATGGACCCCAAACATCAGAATGAACCAAATCGAATACTTAGTAGCTCGGTTATTGACTCGATTAGGAAACGACACACGATGGTGTTTTCCCAACTGACACGACTCACAATCAAAGGTGGAAATACTATTTAAAGAGGGCATAATTATTTTGAGATCAGGTAGAGATGGATGACCAAACCGACAGTGGTAATCAAGTGCAGATAAAGTACTGGTATAAGCCACATGATCAGAAGCCAACTCCAGCTCATACAAACCGTTCTGCTCACGTTCTGCCAATCGTCTTCCTCGTTACAAGATCCTGAAATAAACAATGAGTAGGAAAGAATGTCACAGTACAGTTTAAACATTTTGTATTTTGACTAACGGATAAAAGATTGTAAGGAAAACTAGACAGATAGAAAACAGATGACAAAGGAAGGTTAGAAGTAGGAATGGCCTTGCTAATGCCCTTAACTGCTGTGCGTGATCCATCAGCTAGAATGACATGGTTAGAAGCATTAGAGAAAGACGACAAAATATGACAGTTTCCAGTCATATGATCAGTAGCTCCTGAATCAATAATCCAAGGTTTAGACGAAGACGATGTGAGAGAAGATATACCTGCACGCGCAAGAGTAGCTGAGAAAGAGGAAGATTGTGCCTGTGAGTTCTGGTATTGCTGAAATAGCTGGAACTGCTCAAATTGATGTTGAAGTTGTTCATCGTGAAGAACAGATGTAGATGGTTGTTCGGTTTTAGTAGATGTGTCCTAAGAAGTCATATAGACACCACTTTTTGTCTTTTTCTTTTCAAGTTCCGAGCAATTGTATTTAGTGTGACCAGGTTGATGACAGTAATTACAAGTTATAGAAGTATCCCTGGGTGGATTTCCTTGGAGGAAACCTCCTCGTCGTCCTTTGTGACCTCGGTTGCCACCGTGGCCACCTGTGATCTCTAAATACCCACAGCCTCTATCACGGTCAGCAAAGTGTCCACCACGACCAGATGGAGACCAAGTTGATGACAGTAATTACAAGTTATAGAAGTATCCCCGAGTGGATTTCCTTGGAGGAAACCTCCTCGTCGTCCTTTGTGACCTCGGTTGCCACCGTGGCCACCTGTGATCTCTGAATACCCACGGCCTCTATCACGGCTAGCAAAGTGTCCACCACGACCAGATAGAGACATGCCCTGAGTGGCTAGAGCTGATCGGTCTAAGGTGGGTAATGGAGCTGAAGGTGTTGCTGGAATAGAACTTTTAAGAAAATGA